AGATTGAGAGGGTGAGCCTCCACTTACAGGGCTCGACCTGTCTCTTTTCTCCTGCATCAGGAAATGCCCTTGAACATAGACATTCTCTAAGCATTTTTGAGGATTCAGTTCTGGAATCTTTTTGTTGTTGTTGTTCATTCCCAAGTATTATATGATTTCTGTTACTGTAGAGGGGATCCTTTTTTATATTTTATTTTTCTGTTCACTGTTGCTGGTGTACAAAAACTACCGATGTTTCTGCTTTTTCTTTATTTGAATTCCTTACTGAGCTCTTACTAGTTCTAATATTTTTCTTTAGCTAATTGTCTATGTTTTCTGACTAGAGCTTAATTATCGTTTTTATAAATAATACTTTTGGCTTCTTCCTTTCATTGTATGTTTGCTGCTGGCTTTCTCTTTAAATGACATGGATAATTTGTTCCTTGCAGGTTCAGCCCACATTGTTGGTAACACTAGATGCACCTGGTGCCTTTTAGGATTTTGAGGTGTTGATTATTGAGTAGTTTTCAGGTTACTCTTATGATCTGGTTTGTTTGTTTCTAAGTCAGTTTTAGTCATTTATGTTTTTCATAAAATTCATTTTATTTTCTAATGATTGAAACTTGCACATTACATTTTATTTTATATAAAATATACTCTCCATGTGTATACTCAAACCACTGTTCAAATTCCCTGTCTGGTTTGCTTTTACTTTTTATTTTTGTCTTGCTCAGAATGTTTCTAAATGTAAAACTAACTTTCTTATAAAATTTTTAATCGGTAATATGATCACATGATCCAAAATTTAAAAATATGTGTATGTGTGCAGTGCAATACCCCACCACCACCACCACCACCACACACACACCCCAGTTCCTTGTCTGTCTACTTGACTCTCCTCCCATGCCCCCACACAGGTGCCTACTGCTGTGGTTTCTTGTGTATTCTTCCAGAGCTCATCTATGCATAAAGTGAAAATATATGTTCATTTTCTTCCATTTGTCCTAAAAGCTAGCATATGCTATACATTATCATACAGAATTACACATTCGTTTTTATAGCTGCAGTATTTGCCATGCTATGGAGGTACCAAACGTATAAATAACCAGTCCCCTAATGATTACAACTTGAGTTGTTTCCAAACTTGCAATTCAAACCATGATGCTGAATGTGTCCATAAGCCAGATCCTTACACACCAGACCAAGGGAACTCCCATTAGTTTTTTTGGCTAAATGTTGCCAAATTGCCCTCCTCAGTAGGGTTTACATTCTACTGGTAAAGTATCAGAGGGACCATTTTCCCCAGGGAATTGTATCAAAATCAAACAAATTCTTTCCTATTCTATCCTTAAGTTTGTAAAAACTCTATGGTGTTTTGAGTCAAGCTTATTGAGGTATAATTTGCATGCAGTAAATTCACCCTTTCTACTGTATAGCTTTCAGTGTAATTTTAAATTGCATGCCTTTTACTAGCATGTTGTGTTATTTTTATAATCACAAGAAGAGAGATTTTTGATTCTCAAAATGTAATGAATGGAACTTCTAAATACGACCAGTCTATTTGCACATTCTCATTTCTTTCAAACTCAGCAAATTTCATCCTTTGGCAAATTCAGAACGCACAGAGCAATACAAAATGATTTTTTAAAATGTATTCTTGCCACTTCTGGAGAAGCTCAGTAAGACAAATTGACTGTCCGGGTGGAAAAGCTTAACTGGGAAGATACATTTATTGAATAATTGAAAGGAAGAGGAAATGCATTACCGATTAGCTGCAAAAATGCTTGACATCTAATATGTCTACTATGTGCCTCCAGAGACCTGTGTAAATGGGAAGTCATAAAACCCTTTCAGCCCCGAAGTTCCTGCCAGGCCTCGAGCCTGTCGTTGTCTTGCTCAGAGGTCGCAGCACCAGGACGTTGATGGAGTGACGACAGCTTTGAGGTTTAGCCGGAGGGCAGTCTTCCAGCAACTCTGTAACTTTCCTAACCCTTTACACCGTCCGGTTGTGCATAAATATGTTAAATGAATCCTGGAGTTACCATTGTCTGCTTTGTTTTAGGATTTTTGCTTCTTAGGGGGCAGCATAGAGTAAATCAGAAAAAAGGCTCTTGGTGGTGGCGGAGGTAGTGTCTGATTTATGAAATAGCCAGTGGCCTCCGGCAAGCGAGTTCCTTAGTTCTCTGGGCTTCTGCACTGTCCAGTCCAGTGGTCGGCCAACTGGCCCCTTGAGTGTGACTCTTCCACAAAATACCACGTGCGGGTGCGAACGTACAATGCGATTGAAACTTCGTGGCCCATGCCATGGGGCCAAAGAGCCGCGGTTTGCCAACCACTGGTCTAGTCAGAGAGGGTTGGATGAGAGCCTTGCCCGTCACAGAATGGTCCACGCGTCAGCATCACCTGGGAAGTTTTCAGAAAAGCAGATCCTGGAGCCCCGCCCCCAAGCTCCTGCATCCGCATCTGCATTTTAATCACGTCTTCAGGCGATGTGTGTGCACATGGAAGTTTGAGAAGTGCTCGATGGTCTCCCAGATTCTGGTCTAGTTCCAAAATCGGTGCCTTCTAGGTTCTTCTGTCATCCATCACAGACTGGCTCATAAACACTCCCAGGGTTTGCTGGAGAGTTTTGGGTCTCCCTGTGCACTCGATGGCTGTGGTGGTGGCGGCAGTGACTCCCAGGCTCACCCACTCCTCTTACTCCCTTACTCCGTCGGCCTGTGTTTAGGCCTGTGTTTACATTGGGACCGAGACATGGGCAACAGAGGAGACGCAAAAGCCAACCCCATTGCCTTCTCAGAGCCTCGGGACGGGAGCCCAGCCTGTGCAGGGCCTCCTGCAAGTCTGACCGCATTGTCCAAATTCTAGAGGCTCATCCAGTAAAGAACCAGAGGATCATGCAGTCCCGCGAGATGCATGAAATACTGCGGTATTTCAAACGTGCTTCCCTACCAGCATAGTCCTCTGGCGGTGTCCCCTGGAGAAGGAAACTTTATGCCAGAGAGGAATTTGGTCTAGACATTGGTTTTTGGAGGGAGATCATGAATTTGAATGTAAACTTGATGGGATAGAAAAGATCGCTGTCTTCATTCTTCACCAGCCCAGCCCAGAGAAAACAAAGCTGTACAAAAGGAGAGCCATGTGCCTGCCACTGGAGCAGGCGTGACCATCCTAAATTAGCTGTCAAAGGGTGGTGAGTCCTGCTTGTGCACACAGACCTTCTCGTTGAGGAAATGGAAAATCTCTGTGTGTGTGTGTGTGTGTGTGTTCTTAGGAGTCTGCTCCAGACCTAACTGCCAGCCCACAGTGTATGCAGCCTGTGATTTTCAGTGAGCTCATGTAATTACTCGCTATGGAATATCTTGTGAAAACCATAGAAAAAACACACAGAGGGAAGCAGAGCCTGGGTAGGGGGGTCTGCGGACAGAGCATCGTCCTCGTGGTTGAGGAACTCTTCTGTCTGTCTGTCTGTCTGCATCAAGGATCTTGGCGTCCTCTTCCCAGCCCTCAGGTTGGAAACAGAGGTTTTGGGAATTCACAGAATGTCAGCTTATTATAAGCAAAAATCTTCCTGGAAAGATTCTCAAGACGACACCCGAGGGAAATACATCCGAGCAGATGTCGGAAGTCGGAGTTACTTCTCCCGGGCCCTTCCTGGGTGCTTGTTCCTTCCAAACCTGAAGCCGGTGCCTGTGCCCCTGTGAGTGCCCCGCGGCCTGAAGACGGCCACGTTCACATTAGCCAGAAGTGCACTTGGTTGTCAACCCCGTTTGGTCGGCCTTTGTGCGTGTTACGTAGGTTAGATCTCTGTTACCAAAAGAACATTGGAAATGATGGATTGCTTTGAAGCACATTCCGGGAAGCAAGATGAGAAGGGCAGACACACGAATGTGTCACCAGAGGCTAACCGGGCAGTGAGGACACTGTGTGTTCTTCACACTGGATACAGTGAGATGGGACCAGAACGTTGTGCCCACAGCAGTTCATGTAGGAAAGCCTGGGCACACCCTCACTGCAGAGCGCACTGGGGCCTACTCCCTCTTACACATTGTGCAGTCATAAAAGACCGGATATTTTTGCACAAAAATGTGGGAAAGAGCCTTTTTCCTCCAGGTGTTTACAAAAGCACTCACTCATAAATAGGGTCATTTAAAAATATTTAATGCCGTGTTCGTCTGTCATTATCCTGTTAGGGAATTTTATGGAATTTGACTGATGGAATAATCAACCCCTACACTAGATGTGACCTTGACCTTTTGAGCCTTGGAGGAACACATGTCGTACAGGAGCGTCTGTTTTCCACATTCCTTTCACGATTGTAGAATTTTGCTTAAATATTACATCGAGTCTCAGTCTGTTGTCGTCACGTGGGTGAGGGCTCCTGGTGTGGCCGGGAGGGTGGGTGGGACCCTTCAAGTGCTCCAGCAAGTAGTGGCCAGTAAATCCGACTGAAGTCCATGCTTGCACTGTTGGTCTCAGATGTTGCCGGGATCAGTTGCTAAGCATTAGGAGGCTTGATGCTTGACCGGAAGGCTAGCACTTGCTTGACAAAAAATTATTTCACTTAAAGTCAAGGTGTCTCATCTATCAAAGTGGAGAGTGGGGAGGGAGGCAAGGCCAGGAAGAAACTTCTGTGTGCGGTTAAGTAACCTTCGCTGCATTTGCTGTTGTTGAATAACCTTTGCTTTGCTGCATTTGCTTTTGGAAACACTTACCTTTTGTATATCCAAAACCTGTGTTTGTTTTTTAAACAGAAAAACGAACTTGTCGGCTATTATTCTTAATTCTGCTTCATAAAAGGCTTTGTCAAGATTAAAGAAAACATTCATTTTTCAGACTCGGGCGGGGGGGGGCAAAAGCTGCCCCCCATCCTCCTCATCTCTGCAGGTGGTGGAACCCAGACAGGAAGCTCGGACTGGCTGAGTGGGGACAGTTCGCTCTGGTCTCGGGGTTGCTTCCCCTCCTATTCCACACTCACTGTCACTCATTGCCTGTCCTTCTGCCTTCGCTCTCCCCTACAGATTCGGAGTTGGGTGTTGGCACACTTCCTGAACACGACAGCCAGGATGCAGGGCCGATCGTCCCCAAGATATCTGGTCTAGAGAGAAGCCAGGAGAAGAGCCAGGACTGTGGCAAAGAGCCGATCTTTGAGCCCGTGGTGCTGAAAGACCCCTGCCCGCAGGTCCCGCAGCCGCCACCCCAGCCCCAGGCAGAGCCCCAGCCCAGAGCTCCCGCTCAGGACCCTGACTCTGTGCAGCGCCCAGAGGCCCCGCCTCAGCCCCCACGTCCGAGCACACAGCCACCTCAGGCGCCCCCCGAGGCCCAGCTTCCACCGGCCCCCAAGCCTCCCGTGCAGAGGCCGCCCCGGGTGCAGTCCCCCCAGCTGCTGCACCAGAGCCTGCCCCCCGTGCAGGCCCACCCTGCCTCCCAGAGCCTGCCCCAGCCCCTGTCGGCCTACAACAGCAGCAGCCTGAGCCTCAACAGCTTAAGGTGAGCCAGCCTGCTCTGCTTCTGCCTGCCCTTTGCCATCTGCTGTGGGACGAGCCGGAAGCAGCAGTGGGGAAGAGGTTCCCGGGGAGACGGGAGCTTCCTTGTTGAAAACATTGTCACTGTGTTCTCTCCGAAGTAGAGACAGAAAGGGACGGTGAGGTGGGACTTGGTCTCCTGGGAGGGGACAGCTTGGGTTGGGTAGTGAGGACATTGTAAAGAACTGAAATGTCTGCAGGCTCCTGAGGGAGAAGGCAGGAAGGAGAAAGATGGGGAAGAAGCAGAGCTGGGGGTGCCATGCCTGGAACCCCGAGGGTGAGGCGGGAGTGGAAACGTGAGGCCCCCCCAGCGAACCCTGAGGGTTCAGTCTCAAAAGGGCCTCTGAGGAGGGAGGGGGTTTGAAAGGAGCTGCTCTCACGGAGGCCGGGAGGATGGGACTTGAGGGGTAGTCTGGTTTGAGGGGGGTCAGGCAGTTGGAGAAGAAACAAGCTGGGTATCCACAAAGAGGCTTCCTCAGAGAGACCCAGGCCCTCTTCTGTCTTGTTCGGCCAAATGGCAAAGCAGAGTTGGAAAGCTAGCCCAGAGGAGAGCTGCGGAGGACAGGGAGGCGGGAACGTGTTGTCCCAGGGGTGGTAACTACCTCACGCCTCATGGGCTTGATGTCTTTGCTGTCGCTTTCCTGGCCACGGTCTGGCCCTGGCCCTGGCGTTCAGGGCCTGGCTTTCCCCTCTCTGTGACAGGTGAGGAAACAGCCAGGCTGGGGGCTGTACCTTCCCCGTGGGCCAGGCCCGCCTCTGCCCAAGGCCATATCCGTGGCCTCCAGAAAGTAGAGGTGACAGGGAAGCCGAGCTCCCTGGCTCACCTCTTCTCTGTGCGACTTCATTTCCGAGGTGGTGTCAGACAGGGTGAATGCAAGTCCTCGCTCTCACTTCCTTGGTTCATTGTTGCTGTACAGGAAGTGTGGCTGGCGCAGGATGGGAAGGCGGGGCCTGTAGGGACAGAGATGAGAGCCTGACCGCTGAAGGGGGAGCGGTCGGGTTCGGGCCGAATCGCTGTCCGGTCACAGTCGCTGTGTCCGCAGATGGCGGCAGGTGCTGGGGAGGCGTGAGCTCCAGAGAGGCTGCTCGTGCGCACAGGGCGGGGTCTCAGGAGGGGCAAGAGAAAGGCATTGAATGGCTCTGAGCAGGGAGACGGGATTTTTTTATTAAAGAAAATTAATTGCTTGCCTCTTTCTTCCTGTCTCCTTTGGTCTCCAACAGCAGTAGCAGAAGCAGCACTCCAGCCAAGACTCAGCCGGCCCCTCCTCACATCTCCCACCACCCCTCAGCCTCCCCGTTCCCCCTCTCACTGCCCAACCACAGTCCACTGCACAGCTTCACGCCCACCCTCCAGCCCCCCGCACACTCCCATCACCCCAATATGTTTGCCCCTCCCACTGCTCTGCCTCCTCCACCACCGCTGACATCAGGGAGTCTGCAGGTCCCCGGACACCCGGCCGGGAGCACTTACTCAGGTAGGACGGCGGCCCGCGCCCTGCTCTGCCTCGCCGGTGGCCTCACCCCGTCTCTATTGTCCATCCCTGATCGCTGGGTTCTGTGTATTTGGGATTTTCAGTTTTGTTGGGCGCCACCTTGTCATCAATCCTTTGTGGGCTGAGACTCAGCATAAACAGGTCCTAGCACCCACGCCCACCTAGCACAGGCCAGGCAAACGGGGCACGCCGGAGAGAGCCGCGGTGTTCGGAGCCATGAGTTAAGTGAAACACGGATCCTGTGCCTCCCACTGCAGCGACCACGGCTTCCCAGGCCCGTGTCTGCTCTATTCCGGGATCTTGGACTGCAGCCAGGTTTACGGGGTTTCTTCCAGGTGGACAGGGCCTCTGGCTCCGGGGTGGTCAGGTGCACTTGTAACAGGGCATCCCCGAATTTTAAGGACAGGCCTAGTATTAGATATTGGGTCCTTTTCTCCTCACCTGTGTTTGTTAATCAGGACCGGTGCCCCATTTCGGGTCCATGGTAGCTATGTCAGACCTACTACAGAGATTTACCCTTGAGGTACGTGAGCTCTGCCGTGTAAACAGTTGGCGGTTATTAGCACGCTAGTCACTGTTCTTAAGCACTTACTATGTTGATTCCTTTAACCCTCAAAATAAACCCCTGAGGTAGTCAGGAGTTTCCCAATCGATTGATGAGGAAGCTGAGGCACAGGTGGGCGGTGAGCCACGCCCAGGGTCACTCGGCTGGCAGCCACAGAGCTGAAAGCTGACCTGGGACATTGGCCTGGAGTCTGTCCGTACACCACGGTGACAGATGGTCCTTCAAAGCCGAGCGCGAGACAGCAGGAGGATCGCACTGTGGCTGGGCCCTGTTAGCGTCAGCCTCCATCTGAGGCCCCGGCTGCACCCCCGAGAGCCCCGTTCCTGTGCCTCCACCCTGGTCCTCCTTGCTCAGGCACGAGGATGTCCTGTTCTGAAGGAAATGACTGTTGCAAGGACAGGTGCCATTCTGCCCCTCCCCTTCTCTTCCAGAGCAAGACATCCTGCGACAGGAACTGAACACGCGCTTCTTGGCCTCTCAGAGTGCTGACCGTGGGGCCTCCCTGGGCCCGCCGCCCTACCTGCGCACCGAGTTCCACCAGCACCAGCACCAGCACCAGCACACGCATCAGCACACGCACCAGCACACCTTCACGCCGTTCCCTCACGCCATCCCGCCCACCGCCATCATGCCGACGCCAGCACCTCCCATGGTGCGTACCCCAGGCAGAAATGTGAGGATGAGTAGAGCACGGCTCCTTATGCAGATGGGGTTGGAGTGGGCGGCCGGGCAGGAGATCGGAGGGGGCGTGCCAGTGCCTGGGGGCTCCTTGGGGCCTTGTCCGTGTTGGCTGGAAGGAAGGGGAGTGCCTGCTGCTGCAGCACTGACCTGGGCCTGAAGGAGGAACTTGCCCAGAGTTCTGTCCGGCACGGTGGGTGCGTTTTCTCCTAAGTGCCCTCGGAGCGGTCACATCCCGTGTTGGCAGTGAACTTGACTTACAGGGCAACTTTATTTTCTTGAACATGCTGGGGGTCACCACCAGATAAATCTCTCTGTCAGCGCTTTGCACCCATACTAACAATTCAATACTCAGAGAGTGCCAGGGGCAGGAAGAGGTGAGGGTAAAGGGGCTGCCAGGAGACTTGGACCACATGGGGTACTCTGCCCTTTCAGATGCTGGAGGTTTTTAATTTCTTGTATTCTATAAGATGGTGCAGGTCTGCTATTGTGCTCTGTCAGCAAGGGGTCAGGTAGCCATGCACCCTACAGGAACAGAGCCCAGCCCCAGTAAGAGGTATCGCTGGCCATGACCGTGACCTTAGTCTTGACTGGGGTCTAATGCATGCTGGGAGAAGCAGCTCGGACTTTTTGTAACTTAAGATCCATAGTGAGATGCTGTATTAGGATGCTAAGTCTCCTAAAACAGAGCCCTGTCCACAACACTGAATAATAGAGCGGTTTGCTTAATTTTTGTTACTATTAAATACTTGATTTTAAGGCGGTTAATATAGGCATTGTGAGAAGACATTCCATTCATGTTTTTAAAATAAGCATATTTTTAAATATTTTTATTGATTTCAGAGAGGAAGGGAGAAGGGAGAAAGAGATAGAAACATCAGTGGGAGAGAATCACTGATCGGCTGCCTCCTGCACACCCCCTATTTGGGATCGAGCCCAAAACCTGGGCATATGATATGCCCTGACTGGATGTCGAACTGTGACCTCCTGGTTCACAGGTCGACTCTCAACCACTGAGCCACATCGGCCGGGCTCAGTTCCATGATATTAAGAGGCATTCCCTTCACCAAATTTTGTTGCCTCTCTTCCTGTGCTCTCCCCCATTTATTTTCCAACTTATTTTTTTTAAATATGTATTTTAAAGTTTATTTTATAAATTCTATTTAGAAGATTAGAGATGAAGTCTTGGGACCAAATTCTGTATTTTTTTCTTTTTTCTGGAGGAACTAGACTTTTCAACAGTTATAACTTCAAGGGCTTGTTAGGCTGGGAAAGTGTTTATGCCACCTGAGTGAGGTGTTTCATGAATACATTAAATCGGAAAGAGGGGAGTTAACAGCACCCAGGCAATGGCATTATTTAGAGCAGTGGTTCTCAACCTTCTGGCCCTTTAAATACAGATCCTCATGTTGTGACCCAACTATAAAATTACTTTCGTTGCTACTTCATAACTGTAATGTTGCCACTGTTATGAATCGTAATGTAAATATCTGATATGCAGGATGGTCTTAAGCGACCCCTGTGAAAGGGTCGTTCGACCGCCAAAGGGGTTGCGACCCACAGGTTGAGAACCGCTGATTTAGAGGAAACAAGGGCACACTCTTTTCTGCTCACGAGAAAGCTTGTACGGCCTAGCCCAAAGTGCTCTGTGTTGGGCATAATACATTTCAGAAGACAGCTGAATGGACAATTCTTCTGCCAAAGTGAAGGCGAAAATGGAGGAATTGGCTGGATAAATAGGTCAAATGCTGCCTTCTCTCCGATTTGCCTGAGTAACTGCCTCTTTCTCCAGGTTAGATGCTTGATCTGGGCCAGTCTCAGTACTGAGTAGAAGAGACAGTAGTGCAGCCCGGAACTAACTGCACTGTGTGGGTTTTCTCTTTGTTTTTCCACTTTTGTTGGTTTCTTGTCAGAGTGACTCAGGAGCTCGTATGGCTTCATGTACAGTGAGGCTGTGGGGTCTGATGGCAGCCTAATGACCGGAGCTTGCGGAGGGCTACCTCCCTGAAGCAGTGAACGGAAATGTAGATTCTCTAAGTAACTAGCTTTTGCTTTGATCCCTTTACAGTTTGACAAATACCCTACAAAAGTTGACCCATTCTACCGGCACAGTGTGAGTCTCATTACCATGCTATGCGTTCACTGTAACTGCTTTTCCATTTTCTGTGCTCTCGCCTCAGACCAATGAATGACTAGCAGCTTTCCTTACTCATCTTCGCAAGAATTCCCATTGCTCCTCGTCACTTTTGGATGCTTGCTTTTGTGACGTTTGCTTTTGGGTAAAGATGCAGTATCATCTTTGGAATCAAAAGATCATAAGTAAACGTAAGACTTGGAAGCCAACTTGGACTTCCCTGGAAGTGAGGCATCGGTCCCGCAGAGCGGGGGTGTCTGCGGTTGACTTGTACTTTCAGGGTTTCAGTCATCAGTTGAAATGTCACCATCCACAGAGTTCCTGGAATTCGACTTGAGTTATTCCCTCCAAATAGAAAGTCCTCTTATCTTTTTGACTCAGGGCTCTTCACCAGGCAGGTGTTTTGACTACATATAGAGCACCTTCTGCTCTTGTCCTCCCACGCTTGTTTACGACTGAAAACAAAGATATTTAAATGAAAGGCCTTCAGAATGAAATGGATGATAGTTTTCTCTTTAAGCTCATTCTTCTTTATTAGAAAGAATACTTGTTTCACACAATTTTGAGAGTCTGGTCCGGACTTTACATCGGTACCAGCTTCTGTCTTATGTTCAGTTACTTACAAGGCAAGGCCTTCTGTTTGTACAAAGACCTCAAACATCTTACCATGATATTTTGATTGTGGAGTGAATACTGCATCATTTTTACCTGAAATTGTGCAAGTTTCTTTGCTCAGTGGCTTATTTGTATTTTTCAAATGAAACCAGGAGGAAGGAAGATTAATAATTGCTAGTAGCCATGTTGATTCTCCATCCTCAACTGTTGTTGCTTTGATTTTTAAATAGTGTTATCATTTGAACAGCAGTGCAACTTAATAGGTCAGCCAAGGCTGTATTCATTCATGCTTAAAACCAGATAATTACGCACTGTGTTAGCCCTGGGTGTATCTGAGAAGTCAAGACTAGAAAAGGGATGAAGAAAGCATGTTTGAGCTCCTGGGACCCCATTTTAACCATTATCAGATCTTTGCCCTTTGTATCTTGCTGATTTGAATTAAGGCCCAGCTATAACAAAAATCATCTTAGAGAAAGTTTAGGGCATCAACAGGTGGCTTGCCTTTCTGGATGCATACTCCTCAGAGAGTTCTAGATTGGAGATGGAGAGTGAGCATGGGGACCTGGATTTTTGGAAGGTTTACATTTTATTGCTTACATACTTAAGATTTTTAGTCAAGGGGGGATAAGTAGCTATATTCTAAAAGCGTTAGTAATGGAATCAGGCGAAAGGAAAATGGTGAGAACAGCAGTTTTTTATTGACAACATTAAAGTAAAACACCCACCTGGAGGCAGAGTAAAGAAAGTTGGGTGTGTTTTAGTGTGGTGTGTATTTAATTACTCTGCTTCACGCAGTGTACTGTGGGAGTTATTTCATGTTACTGGTTATCGTGGGTAATATGTGAAATGCTTAGTCTCCCCTGCTTTGGGGATTCGGACGTTATACGGGGAATTAAGATGCGATGCACTCAAGTATCTAAAACACAATTTTAGACTTAAAAGTAGTTTTAAATGAGGGCACTTGGCTTGCAATCACTGTTTAAGTGTATTTTAGTTCAATATCAATTAGTCTGGAAAACTTTGCTGCATCATTGAAGGGAGAAAATGAAATAAAGAATGAGAACGTGCTCTGAAAACAGACAGGATTCTAAAATGTGGATTTCAGACGTTACCTAGAAATAGCTAACATAACTGCACTATTAGGAAAGCTTGAATTATTACTGTTTATACACACACACACACACACACACACAAAAAACAATATAGGTGGGATGTTACTTAAATATCTGTATGGTGATTGGATCAAAGTAGGAACCAGAGCAATAGAATCTCAGAGTTTTTAGAGGAAAAGACGTGTTTGCATTGTCCTCACTATTGCGGTATATCTCTTTCCTCCCCTGTGCTGTCCATAAACTATTAATTCAAGGAAATTTATATGCTTAATTCAGAATCATTCTTCTCCCTTCACTGACTGGGAGCCTCCAGTGAGCTTGTCCATCTTGAAGAAGAGTGGGCATCTCCACTGAAGGTCTATATTGAGTCCTTTTATTTGATCCTCCCACAAATATTTGTCATCATTTCAGATGAGACAATTACATTGTTCTCTGGAGCTGCCACTTCTAGAACAACCTAATGAAGCAAGGATTGTGAATATTTTCTCATTTCCTCAAACTATTAAAAATCTAAAAGAACTAATTGAGTTTTAATGGTATAAAATCCTGGAACTCATAAAGACTTGCTTCTTTTTCTTCTTTTTTTTTTTCCTTCTTCTCTTTTTCTTTTTCTAATTAACTTGTAATTTTCTGGGCATCTTATTTGGCTCAGCACCCCCTCCTGTTTTTTTATATGCATTAAAACCTCCAACCGTTTAGGACTTGTATCGATTTAACAATTAATAATTAGAAAAGCTCCCTTTCTAATGATGTCCTCATCTGGGACATCATTTGTTGACTGATTGATTCTGAACTACTTTTAAGTTTTTGAGTTAAGCATTCGTGGCACATCTGTGTGATCATTTCATCGTGGCTTCTTGACTAATGGCATCAAACTGAGATTGCTTGGCTTGCTAATGTTGCTGTCTTTCTGTGGGAAGGGACTTGGAGTGCATCATTCGCCTCCTGCTAACAGCTTTTCCCCTCTCCGTCTTTGGCCACAGCTCTTCCATTCCTACCCTCCTGCGGTGTCGGGCATCCCCCCTATGATTCCACCCACTGGCCCTTTTGGTTCACTACAAGGAGCATTTCAGCCGAAGGTAAGCACCTATCAGTGGAAACGCACATGCATGCTTGCAAGTGGAGCCACAGGCCAAGCACGCGGTGGGTTCTACGATCTCTCACCTGTAACTTTTCTGGGATTAGAGGGGGGAACCTTTTTTTCTAGTCCATGTAGTTTTAAACTTCAGCCAAATTTAATTTTCAATTTGTACTACACGTGTAATCTCAGTTGAGCTAGGATTTCCTGTGCTCTTTAAAAATATCAGAATATATGTATATTTTCCCACCAAAATTGTGGACATAGCTTCTGGTCAGAATTCTATCAAATGTCAGAAGTATGTGCACGAAGTCATCCTTGGGGTATATTTTATTCGCAAAGATGCAAAGCTGAGCCTTTATTGATTTTAACAAAAGAGAAGGAAAAGGTTCTCAACTAAAATTACATATTTTTAACTATGGGTTTTTATTCTCCCTCGTTTTCCCTCGGCCCCATCTGCCTGCAGATAGAACAGCAGCACCACCTTTCTGTGCTCTTCCCCCTCCGCCCCAGTCCTCCCGTCCTCCCCTGCACCGGACACTTGCCAAAGCCAAGGATCCGTCACCACTGACATCCTAATGTGAAATTAACCTTCCACCTTTCACGGTGGCCACGCTCTTTCCCACCTCATCAGGGATATGCTGGTGCCACAGTTACCTCTGAGGGTCAAGACTGAGGAGTAATTCCCAGAAATTCGACCCTTTTGTGACTTTAAATCTGCTACAGCCCCTACTTCACTTTGATACCAAAAACCCAACAATGTACTTCTCATGTGAGGAACCCTTCTCAGATTTTAAAGCAGGAAATTTGGCGGTGTGTGACTGTGGTTTTCTTGTTATTTTCCATCTCATTTCTTAGACAAAACCCCTATTTTGGGCCAGAGTCTCCCAGGATCAGCACATAATACATTTCCAAAAGCATGTTGCCTTAATACTAGAAATAGGAAAAGAAATTAAAAAGCGTTAGGGTGGGATGGCTACACCTTCGAAACCACACTTACCTGCACAGGGCTACAGTTTATAAGCCAGGTTATATGTACACAAGGCTTCTGCGACGGCCGTGTTAAACACCTCCTATCTTGGGATAAAATGATGGTGATTTTTAAACTCCTTCCCCCATCTGCTCATTAGTACTCCCCCGGACCCTGGTCCATCCCCTCTAGGTTTCCACAAATCTCTCGCACATCCCCAAACAGACTGGTAGGTCATTTAATAAATTAGACCATTTCCCTCACTCACAATTATCCAATCACACAGAAAACTACATCTGGGCAAGAAAGTGTCTCTCCTGGTGTTGAAATAGGCCTTTCCAGGCCATCTTACTGATTGAATATGTAGATTGCAGTTCATTAGTGAGTTCTTCATATGTATGCAAATCAGGCTGTTAACAACTCCAGCTTAATTGTTGGTTGTACAGCAGCTGATTGCTTTTCTTTCTTTTTCTCTTTGTAGGCAAGCTTTGTGCCTAAACCTGAGCCCCCCCCCACCACCACCACCACCACCACCATGCCCCACAAGGGATTCCTAGACGTTGTGATTTCTTGAATAAAATACCTGGTGAAAATTATTCTGAAACCTTTACCCACTAGGACAGTGATGGCGAACCTATGACACGCGTGTCACCTCATTTTTTTGGTTGATTTTTGTTAAATGGCATTTAAATACATAAAATAAATATCAAAAATATAAGTCTTTGCTTTACTATGGTTGCAAATATCAAAAAATTTCTATATGTGACACGGCACCAGAGTTAAGTTAGGGTTTTTCAAAATGCTGACACGCCAAGCTCAAAAGGTTCGCCATCACTACACTAGGAAGTAGTGGCTGCTTGTGCCAAAAGTAAGCTTTTTGTTGCTATTGTTAATTCAAAGGATGAAAGCCTACAGATAGGGTTAGTGTTATTAACAAGACCTAAGAAGGGTATGGGGAATAGGAAAGATGAAGCAGAATTACTTTAGAAAACATTGAATCTAAATCTGTGTGGTCCCTAAATTAGGTTCTCCTGTCCCATTTCCACCACTGCTAATGAGTAATTACGGAGCATAATTCCTTGTTATTGTCTGCCAGTTAAAATTTAGAGCGTTAGCTTAATGTCTGAAACACTTCCAGTTATTCTGATGAGAAGCACCTGATAGAGCAAATGATGATGATGTTCACCTAAGCAGTCCTTGGAATCTCTGCCTTGGTGACAAAGCGGTGACGGGGCTGCCAGTGGCCAGGTTCCGGGCAGCGCTTCCGTGTCTTGATCGTCTTTTTGGGCCTTTTGCTCTTCATTGCAGCAAACTGTGGCCTCTGGCTTCAGATGCCATTGCTGGAGAGAGAGGCAGTCTCTGCCCAGGGTGCCTGGAGAACAGAGGGTGCGGGTCCTGATGGGAGCACGTGTGATCACTGAGGAAAAGGAAGCTGTTAACTCATGTGTTCCAGAATGAAGCAAAACGGGGGGCTGGGTGGAAAAGAAAGGTGAAGGGATTAAGAAGTACAAATTGGCAGTTCCAGAACAGTCTCAGGGCTGTAAAGTGCAGCTTAGGGAATGTAGTCAGTAACAGTGTAATAACTATGTATGGCGCTAGGTGGGTACTGGGAATGTCAGGGGAAACACTCCGTGAAGTGTATGATTGTCTAGCCACCATGCCATGCACCTGAAACTATAGGACACAGTACTGAACATAAACAACGGCGTTTGACTTCGGTAATTTTGAGTGAAAGAATTTCACGGTACACGTTATATGCTCCCTCAGTTGTGGTCTGATTAATTTGTAGACATCCAACCCCATCGATGTGGCTGCTCGACCTGGGACAGTCCCGCACACTCTGCTTCAAAAGGATCCGAGGGTACGTACCAAGTCGGGCTTGATCCCGGGTAACGGAGTGGGAAGGGGGTTGTTGTGTGCGTGGGACAGCCAGCCAGTGCTTGCTCCTTCTAGCTCATCCCAGTGGCCTGCTCTTTGAGCTGTTCCCTCTAGTTTGTGGAAGAAAATGCCAGTTACTCTTAGAAAATAATGTCTCTTCTGCTCATCTGTGGCCGTGTCTCTTCTGCTCATCTGTGGCCGCCGGACAGGGTGTGCCAACTTGGGGCCAGAGGAATGAGGTCAGGGGTTCTGCACTTGAGCTTGTTTCGGTAGCATTCAGCTCATCTTCTCCGTCTGGATCTCCTTACATTTCTCTTACACAAAAGAAATAATTGTACAATGTTCTGAAGAGAGAAGCACTGAGCATTTTTTTTCCTGGGGTCAGGAAGTTCTGGCTCTCCACTAACATAAAATATCCATTATGCTGTGGTTGTGTTACTTATTCACAGTGTCAGCCTCTATGTACTCTCAAAAAAGAATTTAAAGTTATACATAACCTTGTTCATTGATTGTTGTTTACACTCATCTTTGTAGTACATGTGCAAAATGACGACCTTTTACAATATTGTCTTTTTCCCTGGGTAAGGGCAGTCAGAAATTGGTGACCAGAGTTAGGTAGAAGTTTAAAATGACTCAACTATGTAAGTATGTTTATGATGTTTAGTGAACTTCTTTACAATGTCTAATACCTCTTAGTACTGTGCAGCCATCGAATTAAGGGCGTTGGTTGAGGTAGCCTAGTTCTGCTCCGTGTCTGGAAGGACACGCTCCCCAGATGCCCACTCCCATCCAGCCGTGCGCGTCCACGGTCTGATGGCCCTTCTCCCTCGGACCCAGGCCGCATGGTTTGAAGGGGCTGCATGAGGTAGTGAAACTCCTCAGATGTGTAATGTGAGCAAATTCTGTTGCCCGAGGGCAGACCGCTCTTGATTGAACTTGTTCAGGGGGCTTGTCAGTGAAGCCACCAGGGCTTGTGACGTGGGGGAGGGGACAGTTGGCACTCTTGATGGTGTGAAAATGGGTTAATTATCCTCCAAAAGGGCTTCATTTAAAAGTAAAATTCTAACATTTTAATTTCCCCTCCTAATGAAGCACTACAAATTTGTTAATTAGAGCAATTGTTTGAGTGACAGGCATGTAACCAAGTTGTCATTTTCTCTTCACAGTTGACAGATCCTTTCAGACCTATGTTAAGGGTAAGGAGCTTCTTCTGGAACTGTTTTCGCAGCCTCTGTGTGACTCCCGTGGGTTAGAAACACAAATCCACTTTGAGGAAACAAGCCCCAGGAGCTCGGGAATGAAACGCTGCAGTGGCCTTTCTGTTGGTTGGGTTGGGTTGGGTTGGGTGGGTGGGATTTCTCAGGTGGTATGATTGCAAATGGCCCGAACAGTTTTGCTTTAGTGTTGGAGGAAGCCAGGCTGTGGAGGTAAAGCTAACAGGTAAAATCCACCGGAGTCCGATGCTCTTGTTAGCAGTTCTGGTGAAAGGTTAGGCTAGTGGGAACTTACGGGGGAAGAATTGAGCTACAGGCTGAAAACAGGGTTTCCCCGAGTCCTGCCGCCTGTCTTGCACCTAGAAAGTCTGGGGCTGTTTGTCTTGGCTGGTGCTGCCTCGTTCTGCAGTAAGTGGTGTCCTAGTGTCACAACCATTCAGCCTACTTCTCTGGTGCAGAGAAGGGACACTGTGAGCGTTGGTGCGCTAATGTCTTCGAGGTCTGGAGCATGGCCAGCAGATGACCCCTGGATGAATGCTGACGGGCTTGGTTGGTTGGGGCGGGAGGGAAGATGGGTGGTTGGCTGGAAGATGGATAGCTAGAAGATGCCCTGCCATACTTCATCCGCCCCTGGTGTAAAATCAGATGATTCAGTTCCTCAAAAAGGGGAGAAAAGGATTGTGCCATCACTGAGGTGATGACCCATAACTGGAACACTGACCCAGACTTGGATCTAAGGATATGTTTTAGAACCCACTCCTTCCTGTCGACACCGGAAGTGGCTGTCCTTTGCCAGCGTGGGAGTGGACATCGTTTATCCTCGCCCATCCCGTAGTTAGTGAGCGCACATTTGGAGCTCCTGGGTAGATTATGTAGCAAGAATACAAACGGTGGGAAGAGATGTCCGCTGCTTCCAGGTGGGAAGACGGCACACCGCCGCCGCTCCCCCGCTCACAGAGCAGGACGGGAAGTTACCGGCCCATGAGGAGGCCTAGAGAGTAGGAAGCACTGAGTGCTCGTCTTTCTCTCCGTGTTTGACTTAGAAGGGCAGTGCCCACAGCATGAATGGGCAGTGCCTCTCAGGGAAGTACCCGTAAGAACTGGGCTTCAGGAAACTGTGTGGACCTCATTTGTCTTGCTTGGGGGGGTTAGGGAGAGCGGGGCTGGTGGGGTTACCGGGTCTGGACCCTCCCTTGTTTTGAATGATTCCCAGGCACTAATGAGCTCTCGGAACAGCCCGTTTGCATTAGCACAGCCACGTTTGTTAAGCAGGGCTCCCCGCTCCCAGGTCTGCCAGCTGGCACCGGACAGAAAGGGAGCAGAGACACAGAGTGGGCCTCAGGTGTTTGCCATCCTGTCCTGAGTAACAGGAGGTCCTCACCAAGTGCGGTGTTCTGAGGAGCCCGTCAGCTCCAGCCCCCGTGGGAGGGGAGGGCGCCGACGGGGGCCTTCGGCCTGGGCACTGGGGAGCTGCGGACAGGGGCACTGGGGTAGAAAGCACTGTTGTCTCGTGAAAAAGCCTCCGTAGCCCAAACTGCTGAGAGCTTTGGGGAAATGAAGGCGGTTTTCTCTGAAAGGTCTCCTGACCACGTCACTGTTCTCTTTGCAGAAACCAGGGAAGTGGTGTGCGATGCATGTGCACATCGCCTGGCAGATCTACCACCACCAACAGAAAGTCAAGGTCAGTCTGCCTCCCAGCCCGGGTGGGGCCCCGGGCTCACGTGTGATACCCCGCATGGGAGCATGTGAACAGATTCTGAGACCCCTGGCAGGCAGGATCCAGTCTCTGTTAAAACGCGGCTTGGAATCTTACTGCGCATTAGGGAAACCACCAGCAAAAGGACAAAACAGGCGAACTGACAGCTCCCTGATGATTTTTTCCTTAAAAAAAAAAATAAATAAGATTGTTGTCATCTTATTGATCTAAAGAGTTTAAATATAGATGAGATCCCAAAATAATTAATCATTTTAGGGAAAATCCATAGACCAGATGCCTCCAATGGGACAGGTTTATTATCAAAGACCCTGATGGAGTCCCAGGGGGAGTGGAGCCGGCCGGAAGATCCGTACAAAAGTTTTCTTTCCTATAAGAATGGGTGTGTCCTTTTCATTTTAGAGCTTTGGGAAAATGATCGGGTAATTTAAGCCCTACATGATTCTTCGGCACAGGTTAAAAAATGACTCCTGTAGAGGTAGTATTTGGTCTGCCGTGGTCCTCCTGATGACCGGTACCAGAAGTTAGAACCCAATCTGTACTTGTCAGAACCACCGTCTGGCTAGTCTTCCCCTGTCAACGGATGACTTTTCTTCTTCATCTGTTTCTAGCGCACAGGTGAACACATAGCATGCTTTACCAGGCCTTTAGGACAAAGTAGGGAAGCGGTCAGAAACTGCTGCAGTTGACCAGATATGACATCACTGGTTGGGGTTGGGAGCAGAGTAACTGACGGCTTAGATTTTACATTCTGTGTAGCTATGCCTGGAAAAATGGGGGGAAGGAGTCCGCCCAGTCACTCCAACAAGCTTCAGGTAACCCAGGTTTTCAGTAATAAGCTTTCAGTCCCAACAGCATTTGAGAGCCTTTATGAGAATAATAAAAGAAGGCAATAACATGGAGCGCGAGCAAGTGACCACAGAAATGGTTTTTTCATGTTTTGTTTAATGATTAGTTGACTTTTTAAAAACCAACCTGTAAAAGTTTGAAAGCCACTCAGATATTTGCTTTGGTGCCAAATACCTGCTCTTTCTCCTAACATCCTATCCGTGAGCTTTGCTCACTTTTACCTCATTGTTGGGCGAGGGTTAATGAGAAGCCTTGTGGTTCGGCTGGGTTTGTCAAGGTGGGCACCTTGACGAGCGAACCAGATGCTGACACGTGGCTCGACTCGCTTTCTGTTCTGGGTGATGCGGTTGGTGGAACGGTAGGTTAAGACCTGTCCTCCGGTAAAAGAGATGAAGGATGCTGTGTGTGCCCTTTTAGCAACTTCCTTTCCATGAAAGTGTCCCCGGGGACTAAAACCTTCATTATCCCAATTCAATTAGGGAGGCCTCTTCTACAGGAGCTGGCTGTTCATCTTCCCTCTCCAGCAAGCGCTCTGTAATCCCCAAGCGCCATTTTGCTTCATGGACCTGCCTTGTGGTTAATGGAACTGTGCTGTGTACCGTGCAATATTAGCACTAAATAATTTGGCAACCAAATTAAAGGAGCCATTCAAAGGGTTTTTATAGATTTATAGTGGATGAGAAGCTTCGTCTGGGGGTTTGGCTTTTACCTTATAGTGGGACTTCCACGACAGTATTCCCTGTAGATTTGAGCAGAAATTACATTGCCCCCCCCCCCTTTTTTCTTTAACGTTCATTTACTCATTCTTTTAGTCACTCACCAAATATTTCTTGAGGGAGCCTACTGCCTGCAAGCTCCCTACTGTGCCCGGCTCAGAGGGCACTGTGCTGCCCCGGTTTCTGTTGCTTAGAGTTCAGTGGCGAGGATCGGGGCGAGCACAGAAAATGGTGAGCGTGCTCCCTGCTTCCAGGGGGCTTGCTTCCCGCTCCCGGTGCTCAGCAGGCTTCATCCTAAACAACTGGCAACCTGCAGCAGTGAGGAACAGCGGACGTGTCTCTGATTCTCACACGTGTCGATTTGTACAGCGGGACAGGGTTTACTTATGGCAGAACATGAGAGAATTGAGTTGGCGGAGGAGTGGAACCCAGTGGGCTGAGAGCGTCAGATGCACCTGAGAGATTGGAAGCGTGGCGTCAGAGGCAGCTGAGGGCTGTGAAGGAGCAGGGGGCTGGAGAGCAGGGAGGAGGTGACAAGGGCGTGGAGGCTCCGGAGCTTCGGACCCCCAGCCCCGGGGGGTGGGGAAGGGATTGGTGCTTGTCCAAGGGGGGGGCGAGCTGATTCTGAGAGGGCTACTGAGAGTTGAGAAGGTAGGGCAGCTTGGCAATGATAATGTTTGAGTGCTGCCTGTTAGGAAATACAGTCAGTAGTATCTAATCACTATGGATGGTGCCAGGTGGGTACTGGACATATCAGGGGGGACACCTTGTAAAATTTGTGATTGTCTAACCACCATGCTGTACACTGAAAGTAATAACAAAATAACACTGAACGTGACCGTAACTGAAAATAGTAATACCACTGTTTTAAGTAATTTTAAATAATAACTTCAAGTTTCATCTTGAAATATATATTGTTACGGCATAGAAATAAAATTGGTATTTGCCCATTAAAGAAAGATGGCGGGTTAAGGAGTCAGGAGGCAGATTGGGCGCCAATCCCTGCAGCCCTGGGGGAAGGCGAGCTGACAGGTGAGCTTGAGGGCAGATGTGCAAATAAGAGGAAGTAGAGCGATTACCATTGATGGCAAGGACTTCACAACGAGAGGTTCCTGGTGGTTTTCTGGTCTGGACTGATCTCTTCTCAAGTAATTGGGCTTAGTAGGCAAAGAAAAGACCCCTATTAGTTAAACTAATATTCCTTTTTATTTGTGTGGGGTTTTTTTTAAGTGTATAACAATGATCATTTGAAAATTAGCTTGTAGGCATGCAAATAATTCTTCATAACTTTCAGTTCCTAATGTACTGTGATCTATTAGAGTATGGTAAAGAGTCATTAAACAATTAATTTACACAGAAGACTATTCGTGCAGAAATCATAATAAAATGAGCTTTAAAACGCCCATTTGAAAACTTGCTAAAATGGGCCTTTACTTGGAATCATAAGCTACTTCGGAAGGGGTGGTGGTTTGAGTAAATAAAGACATGATTTTATTGCCACTTGACCCTCTGATTTGAGAGGCAGGTGCTGGCCAGTAGCCAGCCCTGCTGCCCTCTCTCGGCTGAGCTGCTATCCTGGCATCGAGGGTTAAACACTGTGCGGGTTGCTGGGTCCTCACAGCATTTGCAAACTCACACCTGATGGGGGCCCGGAGCCCACGTGCACCACGTCTCTCGGTCTCAGTCGCTCATTAATGACCTTCCCTGCCGATCCTCTGGGGACGTCATCTGTTATTTCCCCCCTTGGCTGCTTTAGAAACAGATGCAGTCAGACCCACATAAACTGGACTTCGGACTGAAACCCGAGTTCCTGAGCCGTCCTCCAGGCCCCAGCCTCTTCGGAGCCATCCACCACCCCCACGACCTGGCACGGCCTTCGACCCTGTTCTCTGCCGCAGGTGAGTCCCGAGGGCCTGGGGCACCGAGACGAGTTGCTCTTGGGTGGCTGTGTGTTCGAGCTCTGGGCCACCGCTCAGTCACTCCCTACAAAACAGTCCCTGCCGGCCGGGAAGCCTCTCGCAGTGCAGCGAGGGAAATGGGCCTCCTTCATTGATACATCCTTTTCCCTTAAAGAAGGAAGCAAGCATCATCTTTCCCTTCAGGGACTCACGTTGCTTTGGCTCATTATTTGCTTCTATATTAAGCCAGTATAACTCACAAGCACATCAACTGCTGCTGAAGAAAGATCAGAACGTTCGAAAGGGCAAATGGGAAGGAGTCGACCCCGCACTTTTGTAAGGATGCGGTTGCCCTCACTTTGGTGCCCACAGAGCTCAGTCGCTTTGCACCACGATGCTCAGTCGTGCTGCGTTTGAGGGTCTGACGATAAAGAAATACAGCTGAGCCTTGAACAGCACAGTTTGAACCATGTGGGTCCACATACATATGGGTTTTTTCACTGAATACACACAGCGCTGCAAAAGTATTTCTCTTCCTTATGATTTTCTTAACATTTTCTTTTCTCTAACTTTATTGTAAGAATACAGCATATAATACTTATAACATAGAAAATATGTTAGTCAACTTTTTATGTTATGAGTAAGGCATCTGGTCAACAGTAGGCTATTAGTAGTTAAGTTTCAGGGGAGTCAAAAGTTATATGTGCAGGGGGTTGGCGCCCCTAACTCCCACATTGTCCAAGGGTCCCTGTACAGTTAGTGGCTGGCAGCAGGGCCTGTGATAGGGAGGGTGGATCAGTTGGTTGTAATAATGGAGGAAATGTAGGGGACAGGGTATGAAACACCCAGGAGATATGCTCGTTAACATCTGAGAGTGTGCACAGCCGAGGGCTGGGGGCCGCTGAGGGTCACTGCTCAGGTGGCCACCAGATTGCGCTCCAGGTCCGTGCAAACGAAAGGCAGTGGCTGGTGGGAGGATTGGCTGGATGAGCACAGCCTCGTAGCAAAGGTTCCTTATTCGGTCTTTCCTAAAGCTGTCCCCAGCGCAGGCGCCTGGTCCCCACTTGATAAAATAGTAAGCAACGCCACAAGGCTCCCTGTAGTGACCAGCTCCGTAGTCTAACACCACCCCACCGTGCTGGGTAGAATGTATTCTTCTGGATGTAAGTCTCCGAGGGGCTCCCTGCTTCTCATCCTCAGGGAACAAGTTGCACATCCACCCTGCCTGCCGCCTCCCCGGGCTTTTATCCAGGACCTGCTTTGGGTGGACCGAAAGCTCTTCATTCAAGATGAGAGAAACACCCACATTGCGAGAAGTCATCGATTTAATGGGCTTTGTCGCCAAAGCCAGTGAATCGCCCTGAAGGGTAGATGGAATTTGCGAAGGTCTGAGGTTTTCCTCTGTCAGTTCTGTCCAGGGACGTATTTGAAGGCCTTGTTACCATGGCATCTAGGCTCTGAGACAGGGCCACGTTAAGAGCAATTTTGGGAGAGAAATAGGTTTCTCCCTGGCTTCCATCCGGGCCAAGCAGATGAATGGGCTTCTTTTGCTTCAGTAACTTGGGGACTGCAAGGCACCCTGGGGCCCGGGCCCGGGCCCGGCAAACCTCCTGTCTTCCCAGAAGCAGTAATGAGCTTGCACCACACAGTGTTCAGCCAGGGTTTTATTTAGCTGCACCTCTAATAACTAATGAGTGTGCTGGGCTGCATCCGCTCTGTGGAGACAGGGTATCATTTCTGCACTTTTTGGGTGGAGAGCAAGTCACCATCTAGGGCTGAGCAGAAAACTCCTCAGGTGCCTTCTAATTCTGGGACACCGGATGGGGGGCCTCTGTGCTGGGGGGCTCTTCCACACCCCGGGCTATGGTCCCTTGCAGGCTGGGGAACAATGATCCGGAACATAAACCGAGTCAGTGGGGGTTTGGGATGGGACGACCCTCCATTTTAATCTGTGTCTCTGCAGAAACTTGTACTTGTTCATAGGAATTTGGTCCAAGTGCAGGGGACTCTGGAATAGTTGTTAGTGAATTCATTAGGCCCTGTTTAGCCTTCGCTTCTGGGAGGTAATCATTTGTAGTGCCAGCAATATTGGATTCTGCTCCAGATGGTTACTTGGTGAAACTTTTAACCGGTATGTAAAATTTGCACACACTTGTTAATTCAGCCACTTTCGTCCTACTGTTGGGCACTAGTGCCTGGAACAAACTAAAGGGGCCTCTTCAGATGACCCTGGCCAGAGCCGAGCCTGCCTCCTCAGCTCCCCCTGCACAGCCCCCAGCCAGTATGGGCCCCGAGCTCTCTGGATACTGTCCTTCCCTGACTCACATGTGAGCTCTCTCTTTCCTTCCCCAGCTCCCTTCAAGAAAAGGATTTAAGGCATCTTAAGTACATATTGTGTGAGGCAAATTATAAAGCAGAGGAGGAAATATGGATAAAGGAAAAACCGCAAAGTTACGCCTGAGTTCTCTGGCGGGCAGACGAGTAGAGCCAGTTAGAAGATTATCAGTGTCCGCCCTGGCTGGGTTGACTCAATGGAAAAAGTGCCAGCCTGTGGACTGAAGGGTCCCAGGTTCGATTCTAGTCAAGGACATGTACCTCGACTGCAGGCTTGATCCCTGGTCAGGGCGGGTGCAGGAGGCAACCAATCGATGAATCTCTCTCACGTCGATGTTTCTCTCTTTGTGTCTCTCCCTCTCCCTTCCACTCTCTCTAAAAATCAATGGAAAAATGTCCTCAGGTGAGTATTAAAAAACAACAACACACACAGATTAATAGCGTCTAGAACAGCCGTGGGCAAACTACGGCTCGTGGGCCGGATCCTGCCCGTTTGAAATGAATAAAACTAAAAAAAAAAAAAGAGAGACCATACCCTTTTATGTAATGATGTTTACTTTGAATTTATATTAGTTCACACAAACACTCCATCCATGCTTTTGTTCCGGCCCTCCAGTCCAGTTTAAGAACCCATTGTGGCCCTCGAGTCAAAAAGTTTGCCCACCCCTGGTCTAGAACCTGTGAGTAAACTGGCTGACCCGGCACTGCAGACTGAGCAAAAGCAGGGGACCCGTCTCCCAGGACCCAGAGGAGCACAGCCATTTTTTAGGGCCGGGCTTACACTGTCCTCCAGGGCAGGGCTGGGCCCACTGGGACATTCTCAGGAGAAGAGAGTCTGAGGGCCCAGAGCCAAGCAGCCCAGACAGGCAGCTTCATGTGGCCGCTCCTGAGCCAGGCGTTAGGACGTGTAATCTCCACACCAGCGTCTCTCAGAGTGAAAGACTGGCCCCATCATGGTCAGACGCCCCCTCTCGGAGAGGCGGTGAGCCGTGGACAGAGTGTGGCTCTCCTTCCTTCAGTGAAGAACTTTACCTGACATTTTTTAACCCGGCATTTCTCCTCTGACCTTTTTTGGTTATAGAACCCCCGTCCCCAGCAGTGTTTTTTGATGATTCTAATTGTCCGTCGGTGTCTTCCTGGTATTGCCTGGGTGGCCCTAGCCTGTCCTTCCTCACATGTTCCCTCTTGGGGTCGGCAGGCCACTATGAGCCAGCTGCATTGCAGAAGCTGGCTTCCTGGGGGATCTGATCTGCTGTGTTTGACTCCACAGGTGCTGCACACCCCACAGGGACCCCTTTTGGGCCGCCGCCTCATCACAGCAACTTCCTCAACCCTGCTGCTCACCTCGGTGAGTTGCCCACAGTGACGGGAAGTGATGAGTGTGTTTCAGAAAACCTCTTTACTGCGGCCCTGCCGCACTTCCTGGCAAGTTGGTCGTGATCCTAGCCGCCTCGCTTACTCCTCAGGGAGGGGATGGTGACTTCTGGAAGTCTGAGTAGGTGCTGTGCACCTCCAGAGTTCGCCCTTGGAGGAGGTGGGGAACTCACCCTGGTCTACAGACAGGCACCTCCTGACGCTGGAAGGAAAGACCAGATGAGGCTTTGATGAGTCATTACCCATTATGTCTTCATCACCTCACATTTCACGCCATAGTCATGTGTCTATTCTAGCAAAGGTGCACGCCGTGTTCGTGGCCTGGGTTTGATATTTTCTGCAAGTGTGCAAGCAGAGGCAGGCTGTGGTATGCCTGACAACAGGGTTGTCATATGTCAGCCGTCAGAATTTCATCCTTGATTTATTCTAAGATGTCATCTCACTTCTGTTCCGTTAGAGCCTTTAGCGCAGGCCCCCAGGCTGGGGGAGGGGCAGGCAGCAGGAGGCATCTTAGAACATGAGGCTTGAGTAATGTTCCCCACCCCCTCCCACTGCCCCCGCAAGAGAAATGGGGCAGAATGCACACAGCTTGTGTGAATACTGTGCTAACGGTGCCGACGTCGGGTGCGATGGGAACCTTCGCATGACCTGGTAGAAGGACAGAGCAGGTCTGATGCAGAGGCACGGCTCCCAGGAGCTCCGACGTGCTCACGCAGCCTGTCCTCCTCCCCACTCTTTTCTGCAGAGCCTTTCAACCGGCCGTCTACGTTCACTGGCCTGGCAGCAGTTGGTGGCAACGCCTTCGGGGGACTTGGAAATCCTTCAGTTAGTGAGTACCTCTAACTTTTTAAAATCTGTCTTGGACTATTTATCTCCTCAAATCTGTCTACGGCCTTTCCAGATAAAAAGAAATAGAGCCCTTGGGAAATAAATTGAGGTTTTATCATTGCGAAATCAGGTCTAAACAATTGAGTTAGGTATGCGTGTGCATTTACATCAAAACCAACTTTTTAAGGAATACCCACTGTTAATACATGTCACTGAGGGTCAGGAAATATGATGTATTTAATTGAACTCCAAAAAGTTTGCTTAAATTCATAGTTTCATCCACATTCCATCTCTGTTCCCCCAGACTTTAGGCACAACTCCCACTAGCGGAGAAAACAAACTTCATCTTGCCTTTGGCATTGGTGGGTTTGAAAAAGCTCGATGAAGAATAGCAGGAACACAGCAGGCTCAGGGGAGTGAAGACCTGGAAACATTTCTTGCTCCATAATCTGGGAGGGTCAGCTAGTTTTCTACGGCTAGAAAGTCGGTCTCACACAGGAAGAGAGTTGCAGCACCTGCTACACATCAGTTAGCCACTGGGTAGCACACACTCACCTGCTTTCTTTCACGCCATCCATACGTCACGGTCTCCGGGTACAGACACACAGAATGCAGCGCAAGCAGCCATCACCATCCGGTCCAGCGTGGAGACCCGGGTGTGTTTAGGTCATGCGTTCTATTGCCTCTGTAACACCACTTTGCTAAAGTTGTGGGAAGAGTAGCAGTCATATTAGCAGGACTGCAGTCGACAGTGGATGGCCCTGAATTCTACTCTGAATTGAGCGTTACTCGTTAAGTCACCCTATCACACTGTACCCTCTGCATGCTGGGACATGTGCATGCATGGATCTGTTTAACTGGGTCATCTCGACATCTGCGTGGTCCCTGTCCTTTTCATCTGCCCCCTCACCTCACTTTGCCTTTGGTTTAAAAAAAGAAAAAGCTGTGAGCTGCCTCTCCAGCGTAGGACAAGTTCCTCTAATGAATTTGTTAATCTCCTTTCCTTTTCCAGCTCCCAATAATATGTATTCATTTTAACTCTGAATGCTGTTAAACGTTTTTTGGTAAGTACCTTCATTACAGCAGATTATATAATTTCTCTTAAACCTTTTTGTTCTCCACTTCACCATTTCAGCACCCAACTCAATGTTCGGCCACAAGGATGGCCCCAGTGTGCAGAACTTTAGCAACCCTCACGAGCCCTGGAACCGGCTGCACCGAACGCCTCCGTCGTTCCCGACCCCTCCGCCCTGGCTGAAGCCGGGGGAGCTGGAGCGTGGCGCGTCCGCTGCAGCTCATGACAGAGATAGAGACGTAGATAAACGAGACGCACCTGTTAGTAAAGATGACAAAGAAAGGTACGGAAAGAAACCGCTCTCGATCCGCTGGGGTAGCCCGCTCGGTGCCAAGTACAGCCACCCACCTCCCTGCCCAGCCTTGTGCTTCAGCTGCCCCCATAACCTCAGCTCTTCACACAGCCAGGCCGTGGCACCCCAGAGCGCACACCCCTCCCCCACAGTGCATTGTGGCAGAACAGAACCCTACCAGAGCGGGAGTCCCCACGAAGAGCAGTCACACATGCAGACCCTCCCGTCCCCGCGAGCCTTGATGTGTCCAAACATAGCTCTCCCCCTACACAAGAGCCAGGTGGCGCTCTGGACCAGACACACACAGCATGAATCCACGCCATGTTTGCTTTCCCGTGTGTGCAGTCCATTAACCATGCATAGGTCTCTCTCTCTTTTTCCCTCTTTCTCTTTTTTTTTTTTCTTTGAGAAAGTCATGTTTGCATTGCCTCATCATATTTTTCTGAAATTTTGTTCAAACTCAACAATTAGCTCTCACAGATGACTAATAAAAGTTTGCTAACCTATACTTAGAGGAACATCAACAAGCAGTATTACTGGTTTGGGTTTGTTTTGCCGGTGGATAATTTTCACTAACCATTTGTACCTCTGTACGTGGTAACCCAGGCCTAATAAAATTGGCCGTAAAGAGGAAAACGCTATTTTTTTCTCTGAAGAATGTCATAAGCATTCTTGACAGTGTGTCCCTTTTTTTCCCCCCTTCAGGCTATTTTCATTTTGAACCAACTAAATAAGGAATACACAAGATACGCTTGACAGAAAATATCTAATAACAGTTTCCTTTTGGTACTTCGGACTCAAATCTTGTCCAAATCTTTCATTTTTCTCTAACTGTAAGTTATGTATGTGTGTGTATCCTAGTGATTTAAAACAGTTCAACTTTGCCAGCTCTAAACCTGACAGATGAGTAGATATTCACGCTAATAACTGAGTTCTTTCTTATAAATTTTCCTTCGAGGCAGTAGGATAAAACTTCTTGGCCAATGGGAGGACCATTTGTAACAGGCAGCGCTGAGCTGTAAACGGCCACAGTGAGGCACCCCTGGAGTGGATGTGCCCTGACCAGGAGGTCTCCATAGACAGGCTGTCTGGAGAGAGAATAGGTGTGGCAGCAAACCTTTCCCATTTTCCTCAATGGAGTTAAATGGCCTCTTGCTTCAGCGCGGTCACCGACCGGTGGTCCGTGGGGTCCCAAAGGTTGGCAACCGCTGTCTTGGATTAAAGTCAGGAAACCTTATAAAACATACTCTTCTTCAATCTTACCTTTCAAAGATGCTCTTCTTAGCCTTTGCACGTGCACTAGAAACAAACTTTGTTAGGGAAACCTTAATTCCCACTGCAGCCACTCACCTGCTGAGCCAGCGTGGCATCCTGCTTGTCCCCCATGCTCCCCGCGTCTGGTGTGGCCCCCAAGTCTTGCCAGACTCTCCGTCTTCCCTCTTCAAGTTTTACCTCATTGTCGTTCTACTGCTTTGCATCCTCTGCCCAGTATTCTTCAGCCCCCACCCAAGACAGGCCTCTGGAATTCGTTTACATTTTCATTCATTGATGCTTTTAAAATTGTCCTCAATTTCCCCCAGGTGGTTTTGTGTCTGTGGACCTGCTTGTCCTACTAGCGTTCTCCATCTTCTCATCAGATGTTGGCTTTCTTGTCCTTCCTAATGCAAAAGTCCTTTAGCAGCCCCACAGTCCTGAAATCGTGGTTTCCTTTCAACCCCCTCACGTACCACATCTTGGAGATTGCTCTGGGTCTGCGTTTTTCACTCTGAAACCAGCTGTCAGGAGACAGAAATGCCCATAGTTGTCACGTTAAACTCTTCCTCCCGCTGGCTGTGTGTGACAAAGTGATGAAAGGTCATATTTGCCTTTAGGCTCTCAAACTTTGTTCTCAACACCAGCTGGTCCTGAGAGTCCAGCCCAGTGGGCATTGTGGCCTGTCACTCACCCACGGGCCACCTGGCTTTCTGAAACTCTTCCTCTGTGGTCTTGATGAGGCCCCTGACTCTTACATACAGAGAATGATTTTCCCTGGAGACTCCCCACTCACCCTCACCCCTAGCACTTCACCCCCATTGAGCTTCCTCTACAATGAGGTAAGATCAGGTGGCTGGCTTTGCCACGGTGACCGTGGGAACCAGCCCCAAGCCACCCTTTTCACACCATGTCATTGGCAGCCCTGGCCAGCCGACAAGCCCACTTCACTTGCTTCCTGTCTCCCTCCTCCTGCAGGGAAAGTGTGGAGAAGAGACACTCCAGCCACCCTTCACCAGCACCTGTCCTCCCGGTGAGCACCCTGGGACACACCCGCGGCTCCTCTGAACAGATCAGGGGTCATCTGAACACTGAGGCTCGCGAGAAAGACAAATCCAAAGAGAGGGAGAGGGACCACTCGGAGTCCCGCAAGGACCTGACCGCGGAGGAGCACAAGGCGAAGGAGGGCCACCTGCCCGAGAAGGACGGCCACGGCCAGCGCCAGGCCCAACAGCACCTCTAGCCGCGAGGCTGAGCAGCGCAAGAGCGAGCCGGCCTACGAGAACCCCAAGAAGAGCTCAGAGGTTAAGGTGAAGGAGGAGCGCAAGGAAGACCACGACCTCCCCGCGGAGGCTGCGCAGACCCACCGGTCCTCGGAGCCGCCGCCTCCCCACTCCTCGTCCAGCGTGCACCCGGGGCCCCTGGCCTCCATGCCCATGGCAGTGGGGGTGACGGGCA